GATCAATAATTTCTTAGGTTTAGTGGCTTTAACTTTTAGAAAATTGACGTGGAAATAGTTAATATTCAATAGAACGTGAAAAGTTACACGATAAGAAATCACAATTTGCACGGTAATTCCTTATCTGCTAATATGAATATTAATTGTTTTACGCCAATTTTCTTATAAATAAGAAACTATCAATCGGATAGAAATGTATTTTACACATTTTTAGAATATGAACGATATGAATAAATTGCTATTTTGAAAATTTAGATTGTAAAAAGAAAAAATGAATTTTGAAAGAATTTTTAGTATAAGGATAATATTGTAGGACACCCTGTATATTACTATTTAATAAAATCAGTAGTGTTGACCAAATAAATTGATCTCAAAAAGACATTATACCCGTATCTAATAGCTCAATCTAACTACCGGGTAATATACAAAAACAATGCTTACGCAGAATAAATAAAACTAGCTTAATTTTGATTTTAAAGTAAAAAAACGTATTATGAAATGTATAGGGAACAATATTTTGGAGGGAACGTCATAGGTTTTTTGTATTATTCAAAAAATACAGCTCGATATAAAAGATACAAAAACCTTTATTTTTTTTGTTTTTTAAATAATTGTCTATTTTTTATAGTTTATAATTCAAAAAATATCTATGGAATTTCCACTAAAATATTGTACTTTATACATTTCATTAAAAGTACTTTTACTCTAAAATCGAAATTAAGCTAGTTTTACTTACTCTGCAGAAGCATTGTTTTTATATCTTATACCCGGTAGTTGACTGAGAGAGTAGATGCGGATTTAACGTCCTCTTGGACTTGCAGTCTATTTTTTACATTGCAACAAGACCTCAACTAGACCTCACTAGTGAGACCAAAACAGTACTGTCACTAACAGAATTAATACTAACGATGCAATATCAATATTAGACTCCGAAAAAACATATTCATCGACTACACATTAGAACGATAAATTATTAGAATTAGTTTTCAGTATCATAATGCGTAATTCCGGGAAATATTTTGGGCAAAAAGATTGGCAACAAAAAAAAAAAATTGATTTCGATTTAAAAACATAAACCTGCAGACAAAAAGAACTGAAGTAGCCGACTCTTTATCAAAAGAGAACATAATATAATTAACGTTTTTAATCGGTATGCTGTAATTTTAGAATGTAAATCGTTTTACTGATAACTGGTAAATAATAATCAAAAATTAAAAACCTCAGTTATAAACGTAATTTAACTCCAATGAAACCATCAGCTTTATTTAGAGTTGACAAAAACGATTTACCAGATTGGCAGGTTTGACAACTTGCATCTGAAAAATATAACAAATTATTGTAATAATACATCCCGTCTAATCGAATGTTTTTCTTATAAATTAGTGGACTAATCACAGGATAATAATTGACGTTGACGTATTATTATAGTTAAACAAATGTCTTATCACAACAGTTAAATAGAATTTCACAAGAAATCCACCAACATGGCCAACTATATATACGAGTAAAAAAATAATAAATAAATCCTACTCTATAAAAACAATGGGAAATAGGATGTGATTAATAGCCTTTCAATTATCATATGATAAACGAAAAACCAACATTAATAATTAGGTAGGTACTATTTCTCTAAATGTCTAGCGTTTAAAAAATCATTAGATTTTACACAAACAGATAATATTTAATACAAGAGGCAATTACAAATGCATAATAATCGCATTCTTAAATATTCAACATCTAATCCACTTAAAAGTAAGTACGAAAAGAAAACTGCAAATGAAAGTTATGCAGATCAAAATACACATAAAGAAGATAACAAAAGAAAAATTTCCACGGGGATTAGCACAATAAAAAAAAAAAACAAAAAACGAATTATTACCCAATCGTCATTGATAATATGTACTGTTTACCTATTATTATTTTCTATAAACATAACAAATAATCAAATTGTAACACAATCTGAAATTATTTCACACGGAATATAAAAAACCTTTTAAAAATATTATAATCGTAAAATTATTTTTCATTCGTTCATGGTAATATCGTTGGAACACGATACCAAAAAACGAACGTGTTCAGATTGTAATAAAAGTTGCATTTTTGTTTGTATACAGACTATAAAGACTCGATTGTATACAACACTTGGTTGTAATTGGTACCAAATATAATATATTAATTAAATCCTTATTTTAGGTACTTATTATTATTAAATTAAACGAAAGTAAAACGGCGCAATACAATATTAATACCAGTTATATTCCTTAAGTCGGTATACGTACATTAATTTTGGAAAATATAGTGTGAACACGAGGTTGTATTGTAATGACTCATCGATACTGAAATCACATTTTTTTTTTTTTTTAAAAAAAAAAAAAAAATCTGCATATTTAGCAAAACATACTAAAATTACCGTGAAGTATGAATCATTAATATGTATACATCATCTAGATACAGGGTACCTATGTTTGACTATTTTCCCACGAAAATGTACTATAACTATTTTTACGTCACTCAGACGTTAATAAAGACATCAAATTTCTGTTATAATATCCAGGGAATACAAATCGTAATACTGTGATTTGTTTCTCTTGTTTAAATATGTAAAAAAAAAAAAAAAAAAAAAAATGTCCGTGAAACGTTTACAATATTATTTCTCGTTTTTAAAATATATTTAGTTTATTTATGCTAAATGTTTTCTGCGCCATGTACATAATATTCAAAGTGCGTTATATTACATTTCGAACAGTTTAATGTATTCAAATTCGTTATATACGGAACAAATAGTTTACATAAGCCACAATACTTTGAAGTTTTGGAAAAGCTGAGTGGTTTTAAAGGAGAAATATAATATTATATTATACCCGCTAACCGCGTCACTAATATATTATACTATGCTCGTTTAAACTTTATATCATTAGGCGTAGGCCACAAATATCTGTAATATTAAATGCGACGGTTGACGAGTTCAATCTTCTGAACATTACACGATGGATATACATTGTATTTGTATTTGTGTCACCATAAAAAAAAAAAAAAATGTTAAAAATGATTTTTGTTATCTTCAGAGGCGTGTCTAGGAATTTTCAATAGGAGGTCATTATGTATAGTAAATCTAATAACCATGAATAAACCAAACAACCTATACTACCCAAAACAATAGGAATTTGGAAGCCAGATTCGAAACCTCTACATGTGTGTCCCACTCACATAAAACCCGATTAAAAAATTAAAAAAGATATATAAAAAAAAAAAAAAATTAATATTGTGAGAGTTGTTGGCTTAAGGATAACACTGTAGGACACTCTGTACAATGTTAAAACAAAATAATAAAATACAATTATCTATCAGAATTATGTACGTAGAATATGTAATATACTATTACATATTCAATTAATGCTGCCTAAAAAGCAGTTTATGTCATACATTGTGTTAACTGTATATACCCGTACCGGAAATTTTTTATAATTAATATTTTTTACCATAATGTTCGTGGTCTTTTAACAAAGATCGCTTTTTTTTGTAATGTCCCGTTAAATGTTAATTATAATATAATTTGTTTAAGTGAAACTTGATTAAATGAAAATGTATTCGATCCGGAACTTGGTTTCACCAGTTATAACCTATATCGTGATGATCGTAATTATTTGTCTGTCCAATGGGAAAAAACGAGTTGGGGGTGTTCTAGTTGCTATAAATAAAAAAATTAGTTTTGAATTATCGAATTTCTCTGTTGTTGTGGGTATAGAGCAAGTATTTTTGAAATTTTTTTTAATTAATATTAAAATAATTTTAGGTTGTATTTGTATTCCACCAGATAGTTCTATTGATATATATTCTAAGCACTGTGAGGTCATTGAGTTTATACCTATATCATAATTATCTTAAATTTAATTTTATAATACCAGGTGATTTTAATTTAAATTAGTTTGATTGGTCTATTAATCCGATTACTCAAAATCATAACACTGGTTCTCTAATATTTGATTGTTATTTAAATTATTTAAATTTGAAGCAGGTAAATCATATACTTAATTGCAGTGGTCAATCTTTCGATTGCATAATGATTAGATTTGATTTGCTAAACTTACTAATATATTTAACTTGTTAGAATCTCTTGTTCCCCAAATTTATAATTATCACTCATCACTAGATTTTCTTATACAATTTAACAATGCATTGATAAATAAACACTTTGATTCCCAGCTCGTTTATAATTTTAAAAACTGTAATCTCAATGATATTTCTCATTTTCTATCATGTATTGATTTTGATCTTAATCTGAATAATAGTTCATCTTTTGAAACACTTATACAAACATTTTATGAAATTATCTATCACTCTTTCTATTTATTTATACCCAAAACAAAAATTTATGATAGTTATTCACCTGTATGATGAGTTAATGCTAAACTCGGAGAATGTATTTAAAAAAAAAAAAAAAGTGCCCACAAAAAGTTTAAACTTTTTGTTTCTAATACCAATTATCTTGAATTTTTTAATCTCAGAAAAAAATGTAAACACCTGGTTGCTCTATTCCATACTCAACATATTTCTAATATTGAAGACAGTATTCAAACAAATACCAAACCTTTTTGGAATTACGTTAACTATCTAAGGAATTCAAATAATATTGTTCCGGATGCCGTTAATTATAATAATTCATCTTCTTCTAATATTTTAGAAAAAGTTCAATTATTTTCCAGTGGTTATACACCGGATTTTACTTTGTTTAATAGAGAAGTCCCTCAATCAACTGATGGGTCTAATTATGAGTTAAACTTAAGCTCCTGAACTATTAATTTCAATGAAAACGTTGATTATTTAAGTTCTAAAAAATTTCACGTTGGGACTAGACCTGATGGTATACCACTTACATTTTTAAAATCTTGTAGCTCTGTTTTTACATGTCTGCTTCATTTGATTTTTAATAAATCATTAAATTTAGGTTGTTTTCCAAAAATTTGGAAAAAATCATCTCAAAAATATTTCTTTTTTCAAAAATGTTTGGAGCTTTAATTACTAAAAAGTTGTCCTTAATTATTTCCCCATTCATATGTAAAAACCAACATGGTTTCAAACCTAAAATATCGAATTCTACTAATATAATATTCTATCAGACAAAGATCCTTTCGGCTTTAAATGAACGTGTTCAATTGGACACTATTTATACTGATTTTCAAAAAGCGTTTGATAAAGTAAATCATACAATTCTTTTATACAAATTATTTCATTTTGATATTCGTGGAAACTTTTTTAATTGGTTGAAATCGTATTTACGTTCTCGTACCCAGGCAGTAAAAATGTCTAGCCAAGTTTGTAATGACTTTTTGGTTAGTTCTAGTGTTCCCCAAGGGTCTCACTTAGGTCCTCTCTTATTCATATTAATTATTAACGATTTGTCTTCCATCATTTATAGCTCAGTTGACGTTCTTTTATTCGTTGATGAAGCTAAATTATTCTCAGTTATTAAAACTCCAAAAAGTTAAAATTACAATCAAATTTGGATAAATTTGTTGATTGGAATCTGGTTAACCACCTACCATTAAACATAAATAAGTGTAACGTAATTACGTTTTCTCGTATTAATAATATTATCTCCTACAATTTTATGATTGATAATTATTCAGATACACGAGTTACTTCAATCAGAGACTTAGAAATTTTCTTTAATTTTAATATGGATTTTTCTATTCACATTAACACTTTCATTAAAAAATCATTTAAGATACTAGGATTTATTAATAGAACTATAATTGATTATAAAAATATCAACACGTTGAAAACATTATACTTTTCCCTGGTTAGGTCCCATCTTGAGTTTGGGTCAATTGTCTGGTCCCCTCACTATTTGTGTCAAAGAAAACTAATTGAAAATGTTCAGTATAAATTTATAAAACTATAATAGTTGTCGGTTTATTACCCAATTGAGGATTGTGTTTTATTATTTGAGGAGGAATTTTGTGGATGTTATGTTTATATATGACCTATTAAAAGGTCTTATTTTTTCTCCGAATTTATTATCTCTCATTGGATTTAATATAAAAATGCACCGATTAAGAAATTCCAACTTATTTCATGTTCCTCTTTATAGAAACAATTATACTTTATCCTTTGCAAATATTCCTTTGAAGTATCATAACTTAGTCTTTAAATTCACATGTGCCATAGGTACTAAAATTATTTAAATAAAGATAAAGAACAGGTAGAAAACCGATGCTTATTATGGTTAAAATATATTATTATTGATGGAATATTGATGAAAAATGGCGTCACGGACGAAAACGAAAACTTTTGATACCTCGAACCCGGGGGAATAATATATTTTTTTTTTTTTTTTTTTCGTAAAAGTTTTGGAAAAATCCGTTCATTTCCACCCTCCCGGGATTTCACACCTTTTTTTTATTATCCGTTCACAAAAAATTAAGAATCTATAGAATACTTACTCTACATAAAGTTACTATGTAAGTATATAAAATGACTTTTGTATGGTGCGTAAAATGCTCCCGCAGAGTGGTGTCCGACGACCGGCGAGAAATTTACGCACGAATACAGGATATTCTACGTGAAAAAAAAAAATCATAATGTATAATTGATGTATAGATATTGTTCAGAAGTCAAAAAGGATTTTTTTCCTTCCCCGAATAAATCAGCAGCCTGCAATACATAAAAGGGAAAATATTACTGGAACGCGAGGTACAAATATATAGGGTCCTGTACAAAGTATTTTCTCCCGTACTTATAAAACAGGGTATATGTGTACAGCACAATAATAATACAGTAGAATCCGCTTAATGGGGATACATCGAGCGGTAACCTATTTGTCCCCATTATCCGAACTGACGAAAAAAAACAACTTTAAAAAAACTAAAAAACTTTATTTAAAAAATATATACATACTTGATTCATACTTTATTTAAAAATTACATATTATTATTATTAGCAGTTGTACATTATATTTACTATTTAGTATAATTATATCGTAAATTTATTTAATACATTATGTACATACTTAATTCATATTTTGTTAGGCTGCAGAAAATCGTCCATTCTTCTTTGCTGTAATTTATCAAGACTTCGCTTATTGATAAAATCTGCACAAACATCTAGTGAAGTATATTTTATATACGGACGTATATAAAATATAATAGAGCCATAAAGATTAGATAATTACAGTTTCGATAAGAAAGTAGATAATTTAGGTCAGAATACCTAGTTAGCCGCTTTNGTTATTGGGATATTTTCGTTTCCATTTTGCATGAAAAATAGTCTCAGCTGATCAATGCACTTTTCTGCTTCTCTTGTTGTAATTTTGACGGGTTGAACGTCGTCATTTTCATCACTTTCTTCATTTTGCAGACTTCTCTCAGCAAATTTTTTTAAGAATTTCCGGTAATTTAGCTAAAGACCATTCATCAGCTCCGTTTGAATCAGCACTTGATTTTTCTCCGTGAAATCGCTTGAATTTAATATTATTCCGATCCTTCCAACGACTCATCCAACCTTCTGTGGCCTTAAAATTACCATGTCCAATTTTTTCAACAAAAATTTCAGCTTTCTGCTGTAACATGGGGCCCGAAATACGAACACCACGTTCTGTAACAGCAGAAAACCATTCGTTCATTGCTCTGTCTACTTCGGGATCTTTGCTTTCCCGCTTTCTTTTTCTGTTTGCAGGTGCACTATTGCTGTCGTTTAATTTTTCCCATTGTTCACGAATAGTTTTTTCATTATTTTTCAATCGGTTTAGTACCGATTTAAACGTGCCTATTAATTTCTCTAACTCACGAAGACTATGAGGTTGAGCCTTAATTTTGTCCAAAATGGAAATTTTTTCAACCGACGTCAAATCTTTACGAGACATAATTGTTACGCATTAACACAAACTGGGATCAATAAAAACTTTAATAAACACACATACGTTAATACACAGAGACAAAAGAACGTGAACTAAAGGTTTTCGATTTTGTACGTAGGCTAGTTGACTCTTTACGTGGTAGTAGAAGATAAACGTACATTACATTTGTACATATACGGACGTATATAAAATATAATTGAGCCATAAAGATTAGATAATTACAGTTTCGATACGAAAGTAGATAATTTAGGTCAGAACACCTAGTTAGACGCTTTTATTTTTGTCCCTTATAACCGATGGTTTGTCCCCAATAAACGAAGTTAAATTGCCATAAACGAATACATTCGTTCGGGACTATGCCAATTTGTCATCATTAAGTGGTTGCCCCGTTTATGCGGTGTCCCGAATAAGCGGATTCTACTGTATATTATGTGCACATACTTATGAAAAAATACACTTGTAAATAATTTATAAAAAAATGCGGGGAGAACGTATCGTTTTCGTTTGGGTCATTTTATACTAAATAAATAATCGATTTTCTGGAGAATAAATTGTACAATAATATTTCACGTGCGCTGCAATCAACTGGTGTACAGCCGAACTAAGTGATAGTTTATACGTTAATAAATGCGCGTTGCATTTAAAAACAATAATATACTGATTAAAAAAAGAAAGAAAAAAAACGCCATTTAATTTAAACGTGAAAAACGATAAAACAAAATAAAAATTTTATCCAAAATCTTTGGTTCGTTTAAAAATGTGAGTAAACAGTTCTGTAACTAAATGATATACCGTGGTTATAAAATCAATAGCATCATCGGTACCAGGGAATAAAGGGCTTTAATTAATTATAATTATTATTATTATTTAATTTGTTTTCTCTTTATTTTCGGTCTAAAGTGCACGCAATAATGTATACAACAACACGCGTTATAATTGAAACTAAAATATTATATTAAGTCATTGTGGTATACTTTTTGTTTGACAAGAAAAATAATTGATACAGTATAGAAGAACCAGTCAGTTCCTGTTTTTATCCTTCTGAATAATTATAACATTTGGAAAGCGAATTAAAGGTTGTGAATGAGCGTGTACATAATATTTAGCAGAGGTGAATCGATGCACTACCGGTCGAGACAGAATTTTAGGCAAACTCTGACGGTGCCCACTAGGGAAATCCTAAGTACACGTATTTACGCATTACGCATAAACAATATAACGTTATTTTAGCGGGAAACAACCTAAATAATATGCTAATATATTATAGGAAAGCTACTAAACGAATTTTATTGTCGACGCGTCCGAAATATTTAATTTATTATACATAATAATGTAATTATTGCAGTGCCTAGGTAGTAGGTACCTACGTACAAAATACATAGTTTAGGTGTATAATTTAATTGAATTATACAATTAATAATAATGATTACAAAAGACGTTTTGAATTTTAATTTTATTTTCAAACTAGAGGAAAAACGATATTATTATATTATGTTGTGTATTTAATGAACTCGCCACCGACTAACTGGGTAACCGTAATTTAATCAACGCTTAAACCACCAAAACCAAAATATTATAACCGGAAATAATATTATGATATGACACAATATTATAATATTAATATCTGCAGTTATTAGTACCTGTTGATATTTCCTATGTCATACGGGTGTAATGATACATTTTTTGTTAGGCCAGACGACCTAAATTATAATTTAAAGAAAATATTTAAATTCGATTTCGTTGAAATTCGTATTTTTAATTTAATCTCAAAGCTTTGCTCGTTCATCCATCTCCTGACCCTCCCCCCAAAAAAAAAAATAATAATAATAATAATAAAAGGCTCAGATTCCTCGTGTTCGTAGACCCTTAAATATCGATTTTCGACCTAGATTAGAGATATAAAACATCTTAAATAATATATAAACAAATTTATAACAAAAGGTTTCTAGACATCTTGATAAGTAATATTATAAACTGCGTGTAGACTTTCAATTGAAAATTGAATGACGCGTACAATATACAAAAACAAAACTTTGAAAAGATACAGGCTGATACTGTTGATAAGTATACCGCTGTTTTAACAGGGAAATAATGGAAGAGTGGATATAATGAGTAATTTAATTTATACCTGTATGCAACGAGAAACGATTTCGTCCAGAGTATTATTAGTCCGATCTCTTATTGTCAAGGTAACCCAGAAATCAACAAAAATCATACGAAAAATAATCCCATCAATGCACCAATGTCAGGTAAACAATTGCTACAAAAAAAGATTAAGAATATATATATATATATATAAAATTTTTGATTTGAACATGATTTCTGATCGAAATAGTTGTTTACAGACACAGAAAAAAATCACCTTATAGTAACACCAATACGTACCTTGTTTCACTCAGAATCAAAAACTTATAAAACCTTCCAGTATTTAACCAACAACGTGTGAAAATCTACTCGTATTCGCTTAAATATATTGTATTTATGAACGTAATACGTAAGTATGTATGGATAATAATATAATAATATTAAAGTAGGTACCGGCGAAACAACAGCTGCTGTGCGCCTATAAAGGTACTTATTCATAGATTCCGTCTCGAAAGGACGGCGCACAGGTTGTGAAAATCTGTCTTATAAACATTTTCAGGTAAAACATTGTTACGGTGTATATATATATATTCCTTGCTCGCCGTGCTCGAGCTTGTCTGTGATGTTTTCGATTAAGAGGGCATCGTACTTCCGTAAATTTGTTAGTAATAACTGCTTCGCGCGGGAAAGAACCAAGAAGAACTACAGTTATAATTAAGAAACGAAATTATTATTAAAAATAAAAATAAAATCATAAAAAATTCATTATTTTTGTGTATTTTAAACTTAAATAACTTCTTTTGTAGTTCTGATATCGAAAAAACAAAAACGGCATTTCACGGCTAAAGTTCTTCTTTTTATACTGTGGTAATTTCGTTTCTTAATTATAACTGCAGCCGTCTCGGTTCTTTTCTGCACGAAACAGTATTAGAGTAAAAATGTAAATTTTATTAAATATTTTGTGCCATCAAGTGCTACTCCAAGCGGCGCCGCGAATTCCAACGTCGTTGTACCCGGCAGAGACCCCCTTCCACTACAGCAAAACCCGTAGCGTGGTGAATGCGGAGCGCGGGTGTGCAACGATCGTATTTATTTTTTACAGGGATGTACATCCAAACCGAGCAAACCATGAAAAAAATATTCTTATCTATAAGATACATTATTTCCATGTTACATAATTGTTTGCTTTATAGATGATTGTATACACGGTTAAATATATAGGTACGGTCACGACTTTGTGATACACGGGTACAATGGCCGCCACTTGCAGTGATTCCCGTTTTATTTCAATCCAACTGGAAATAAATATCACTGCCGGCCGAGAGTTTTCTCTCCGCGAAAAGCTATGGAATAAACAGTTGCGATCATGCCTACATCCTTTATCCATCGTCGTATACATACCATTAACTGTTTACTGTTTCTAATTATAAATAACGGTACTATGATGTAATGTATTGTATATATTTTACATTGTTCAGTCCCCCGAAAAAATTTCCAGAAATGTAAGCACAAAAAGTTTAGGTGCGAATGTTATTATTTATTAGTCATTACCTAATATTCTATGCTTCCAATGACAAACCAGCACGCCGCGCGCCGTTATCATATTATACGCATACATTATGTTAGGCCATAAATTAAATTACCTATAATGTAAACACGCGTATAATATGTTATTATGCTTGGCGGTGTAGCCAAACGGGGTTAGATCCCGGTGACGTAGATGAAAATCGTACTCCTGTGTGGCCTGTGATAGCTGATAGGCAATGCAGTAAACGCAGCTACATGAAAAAAAAAATATATGATACGTTATCGGGAGCGGTGTATTAATAATTGTTTGGTTATTTCTTTTTAGAGACTAAAATAAAAATTGATACGTAATTAGAATTTTAAGACTTTGGAAATTCGTTCCGAATTACTAGATTTTTTTTTTTTTTCAAAAGGCTTTAATATTACTTTCGTGATTTCCGAATTTCTTTCTACATTACTTCATTAAAAATTATTTTTACAACTTTTTTCAAAACACATTTGTTATGCTTATATAATATATAACAAACGCACATTTTGAAAAAAAACTTTAATCAGGTGGGCGGCATACTTGTTTCATTATTTTTTTCAATAGGGCATTTATTTTTATAACTTAATTATTACATGATTTCTGATGAATTATTTAAGGTTGTAAAATAATATTATTTTAATATAGATGTAATCTTTTTTTTTAAATCATACAACAATAAATCGGTTCCTAGCGCTGTTTTTATTATTATTATTTTTTTTTTTAAGATTCTGAGCGATTATTGCTAAACATTTTACAACACAAAAACGAAATCGAAAGCATAATGAAAATAATATTACCGTCAACTTTTCTGTATTTTTAGTTTTTCCCGTGAAAAATTAAAAAATACCTATATGACGACGACGCGCGATGGGCGAGTTTATCACCGGAATGATAAAATAGTAACAATATTCGTACCCATTACAATACTATTTCTTTTTCTATTTCTATTATTTTTATTCGGGATTACAATAAAACAATATTATGTAGACACGGTATTACACCACTTACACATTTCGTGTTATATTAGCACCTAAGGCAAACAAAACATTTTCAAAAAAAATCACTCGCTGAAGTTTAAATTGTTCATAAATATGGCGTATCATATTTACCGTAGGCGGTCTATTATAAACTATAGTTGCGGGTGGTTGTTTGATAACATAAAAAAGCAATCGTGATACGCGTGTTTCAGGAAACGGCAGCTTAAAATGGCGATGGGCTCGTGAGTACGCGCACCCGTAAGGCGGTGGCGCGGTGTCCGGAGCGCGGTACGATGACACCGGCGGCACAATCGGTTTCATACCGGAGCGGTAGGCGCGCCGCGGCCGACCGTGTCTCGTGAGACGATAAAACGCGAAGGTTCTCCCGCGGAACCGAAAATCCACGAGGCTGGCCAGTCGGTACGGCGAGGTGGTGGGCACGGCCTACTGCCTACTGCCGCCGCGGCGATACCCTGTGCCCGCGAACAGCTTCGGGTAGCGCGGCCTCTTAAGCGCCGAATGAGCTTATGTGGGTGGTCATATTGTTATTATTATTATTGTTATTATTATAACAAGCGTGGCAACGT